CCTCTGGATGTATAGGGTAAAACAAGATTGGTCAGGAAAAGAGAATTGTTCCTATAACTGGTAATCTGACACAATGTCCTATTGCCATTTAAAAAAAAAGGTCCATTTTCAGTTTATTCAAGTTTGTTTTCATGGTTTTTAATCCCTCTTGATAAAAAAAAAAAAATCAGACTTTCGTAATTTGTGTGTGCTGATCTTCATCAAAAGGCTCGTTCTCTGGGTCAGAGTCAGTGGTGTCAGAATATCTATAATGATCAGGTTCATTGTCACTAACATCTGGCGTTACAGAAGTTGAACTGCTAGCCTCTGGATTTGATGGCTCCTCTACTGTTTTTGTGAAGTACAGCTTCACCTAGAGAAAGAAAATTTTAGATGAAAATTTGTAATTATGACTAATCGTAAATTACTTAAGTAAAGATAACATTTTTAAGATTCCCTCTTAAGTACTATAATAAGCATGATCCTTAAAGGGCAAATGCCTCTCAAATGACCCTATTCTTAAGATTTTCTACAGTTTCTTTCTTGCTATGTACTGAAAAGATAAACTGAAATATTACCATACTATTTTTAAGAAACACAAGATATAAGCACCAACTATATAATTCTATAAAAGAAATGCAGATTGAAGATCATCAAGAGGTTATATAATAGTTTTTCAATCACAAAATTCAATTCACAAATGACTGAGTTCCAAATGAATGTTTCTTATTATCTGTCTGAAACTTAACTTTATTTTCTTTTTAGTACCGGGGATCGAACTCGGGACCTTGTGCTTGCGAGGGAGGTGGTAGAACCACTGAGCTAAATCCCTGGCCCTTAACTCTGTTTTCTGATACTAGTAATACTATACAAAAAAACCTTAAAACCCTTACCTAAAAGGAGAAAGAAGAGAGAAGTTAACACAGATCATACATTGATGGGCCAATGGCCTTTACATGTACATGTATAGTCAAAATATCTCTAACATATTAGGGATACAAAGGTCCAGAAAGGTTAGTGAACTTATCAAAGGACATATACTTGGTAGGTAGTGTACGTGAGATTTAAATCAGATCTGACTTCAAATCCCTTGCTTATTCTATCTACAGCCTCTCCCCTCTATTATTCAAGAGTTAATCATTATCAATGTTTCTTCTCTTACAACCAACATTCACTTTATCCTACCCTCAAAACACAACATATACCTAATCTGACAGCTCCTAGTTACCCTTCTCTGCATTATTTTAGTCCAAGCAACCACCAACTCTCACCTAAACTGCAGATGGGACTAACTGACCCCAGCTTCCATTCTTGCCTCTTCTCCCCTCCCTTCTTTTCTCCCAAGTCTCTATTTTAAGTGGATAGAGTAGATATTTAAAGACAAAGTTTAGACTGTGTCTTTCTTGTGCGACATTAATGCCTCCATTACAGGATTGGTTTTCTGGTCCCGTTTTTTATTCAAAATCACTTATGCCACTCAAATATACCAAGTTCATTTCCATCTCAGAGATTCTGCATACACTCTTCCCTCTTACCCCATCTATTTAGATAGCTCACTCTTCTCAATCAGTTTCCTGCATAAACGTCATCCACTTGATCAGGCCTTCTCTAACCAGTGTAGTTGAAAAACAAGATTACTTTCTACTTCATCTCTTTTTTGCATGGCATTTACCATGGTATGAAATTACATCAGTTTACTGATAACCAACATAATTTATATTTGTAATCACAAATGTAAAACTTCTTGCAATATAAAAACAAAACAAAACTACAAGGAAACATTTTAAAAGCTAATGGTTAAGAAAAATAGATTTAGAGAAAGAAAGGAAATGAAAATCTGTAGATGGTAATGGAAACTTCTAAACAGAAGAAATTTAAAGTTCAAAAGCATTTAAAATTAGATCAATTTTTATTTTTAAAATATTTAAGCTCTCCTCTATTTTAAATATTAATAGCAATATTCTTATGCTTATCAGCTATGGTTAGGTTTGTTCCATTATAAAAATAATTAAAAATGAAAAATTTTAAAATATAATAAAGTAACAGGAAAAAAATCAAGTTGAAGAAATAGGAAAGGGAAAGAAAAATGGCAAACTACCATTTAGGAATGTTTTTAAGTGTGGTTTTTTTAAACTCAAGAGTTCTTGTCTAGCCAGGCATGGAAGCACATGCCTGTAATCCCAGCACTTGGGAGGCTGAGGAAGGAGTACTATTGTGAGTTCAAGGCTAGCCTGGACCACATAGTGAGTTCAAGGCCAGCCTGAACTACATAGCAAGACCTTTCTCAAAAAAAAAAAAAAGTGTTCTTGTTCATAAATAGAAATACATATACATATCCATACCACATACAGATACAAAAATGAAACCAAATAACTCCAAGACATGAGGAAATAGAATTTTAAAAGGGAATAATAGGGGTGGACAATCAGAGCAGAAGAGCTTGCAGCTAACTAAGGCTAGAAATACTGAGAAGGACATCCATGTGAGGGTCAGAGGAATGGCTCGGGTGGAGAGTACCAGAGAAGGATAAAAACTGGAAAGACCATAGCCACAAGAGTACCACTTTGCAGAAATGAGGCAAGACCACTGTGGCTGAATGTCAGGGAACAAAGAGAGAATGCGGCTAGAGTTGAGGAAGGAAGTAGTCCTGTCCTAAATTATGCAGGTCCTTACTTAAAAGGTCTTTTAAAAATGTAAACATGAATGATAGAATCAAATTTATTTTTAAGATCACTCTGAGGAGCTGAGAATTAGACAAGACAAAAAAGCAGGAGAGGTGAAAACATTCCTAAAAATCATTTCCAAACAACCCAGTTTTCATCTATTTCTTCCTTTCCCCATTCCTACTTCATATTCCACTCACTTAACCCCTGTCCCACACTTTTAAGCCATATTTCACCAAACAACAAAAAAACAGGATAAGGAAAATCCAACTTTTTTGACTCTCTGTACATGTGGCTATTTTATTAGAAAATTTTCAGGTTATTGTTACATAAATATTGCTTCTATATAGCACATAATTTAGTTTAAAAATAAGTCAAGCAAGGTCTTCAACTATACACCTACAATAAAACACACACACACACACATGGACAGACTTCACCACCAATTCCCCAAAATGTTTTTAACTGACCTTAAAATTTGGAGAAAAATATCGGTTTGCCTTATCTTTATTTGCTTTGTCGAGATCATTTTTTGTTAAAGTAAGTACTAGATATTCTTTATCATTATCTGCACGCTCTATACTGCAAATACTATCAATTTCTTGATCACACAGACTTCCATTTTCTACTTTTTCTGAGGTTTCCTCTGGTCCTGGTATGAAGAACGTATTTACCCAAAAGTGAAACATTTTGTCCTAAAAAAGAAAAGAAATGACCAATTTTTTATCTTTAAAAAAAAAGAATATATGTCATCTACATAAAACATTTACTGATAAGAAGTCAACAAAATAAACTATCATTCGATGTATCTGTGGGTTACCTGTTGCATTCTCATTCACTATGATTTTTCTTTTATTCAAATTTTAGACCAAAACTACAATCTCATAAGATTTGGTTTAACTTTGTTTTGAAATCATAAGTAAAATATGCTTCTTTTCTAGTCTAATATTAGATTTAAAAAATGTTGAGTTTATGTGTATGTGGGGGGGCAATAACAAAACTTTAAAACTTTTACTTTAATAAAGGTTCTTGGAAGGTTAGTACAACTTCCCTAATGAAGCAGGAAGTTACATTTTTATGTCTACAGTAATATAAACAAACATAAGTGGTTCTACTTTCTTATATGACAATGTACGCTTGGCAACTTTCAGAATAAAACGGGGGAGAGAAGTCTGATTTCTGTTATGATATGTCTATTTTTTAAAAAAAAATTAATATGCCAGATGTGGTGGTGCATGTCTGTTGATCCCAGCCACTTGGGAGTTTGATTCAGGAGGATCACTATGAGTTCAAAGGCCATGCTGGGCTATATAATAAATTCAAGGTTAGCCTGGTCTATATATATAAAGACCCTTCTCAAATAAAAGAAAAATTACTCTAATAATATGAAGCCTTCTTAATTAAAAACTACAACAGAAAAACATCACTTTAAACCTTTCTCAACACAGAAATTAACTGCATGATCAACCGACAGTTAATGACATATAGCCTTGTGACACATTACCTGGTGCCTAACTGCCATCTAAACTTTCTATTCTAATGTGGAATAAAAGGAGGGGGACATTCAAAGCTAACTATCTTAATCTTGAAATATTTGCTAATACTTTTTGGATTCTCAAAAAGTAATATTTTCAACCTGGTGCATGCCTGTAATCCCAGCTGCTTTGGGAGACTGAGGTAGGAGGACCACAAGTTTGAGGCCAGCTTGAACAACTTAAGATAAGACTTTTAAGAGGGCTGGAGGCATAGTTTAGTTTAATCCCCAATACAAAATAAAATAATAAAAATAAATTCAAAGCTATTTTGGAAATGCATGTTAACTTTTATTATACAGATAATCATCAATTTAACATTTTGTGATTTTTTTAGCTACTTAGATTCTAAAGGCAATTATATTTCTTCTAGTAAGTACAGTGTTTAAAATTTTTGTAGGAAGTGAAACTTCCTATTATTGTCTTTCAAAAGAAAAACTTAAAAATTAAGAAAACTGTATCAATCCTATTTCATTCTGTTAATGTCTAAAAATTGGCAATATACTATCCAGTATATTTTAAAAGTCAGTAACACTACACAAAGCTTTTCTTTCATTACTAAAGTTTTGTACCTTAGAAATTGTTCACACTTAATAATTTTAAACCAAGACTGTTTTACAAATGAGCTCTTGGCTTCTCTAAATATAGCTCAGTAAAATGTAAATCTTACTGTCTAAACCTGCATATTTAAATAATACCACTTCTTTTGATTCCTTATTACTTCCTCTTCATACCTATTTCTCTCCTAACTAAAAAACTAAATACTACTTAGCAAATCTCAGGGAAATAAATATAAAATAACCCAGTCTCAAGAAACTCAAGTGAGATGGGGAAAACTGGTTTATGTTATTACATAAGATCACAGAGAAGATCTTACTGCTACCTATACACCAAAAAAAATTAATTTTATGATCTATGATTTCTTCTCAGTTAATGAAACACCCTTTAAAGAGGATTATAATTTATTGAATGGGGGTATGTATGCAATCTTTAATACTTTTACAAAATTTTTTTGCATAACTAATGTTAAGAAAATTTCATCTCAATATAATACCATATAGCCTTTCCTTCTAACAAGCTCATCTAACTTTATAATGTTTCATTCATACCACAGTAAAATATCTATAGATCCAACAGAACACTAACCATACTTCATAAAATGTTCACTCATAAAATAAAAGATATCTTTTCATCTCTTGTTACAGAATGACTTCTGCCTAAGCAAAGGCTTTAAACAAATGATCTGAGGTTATTCTTTAAGACACAGCTATTTTGGATATTTTCCCAATAAAAACAAAGTGCAAACCTTTTTTAGCATCTTGTTCTGTTTGTGGAAGAACTCTACTTTGATGTCACCACACACAGGCAACGGCTGAGGGAACTCAAAGTACATGAACTTGTCTTCCCGTCTTGTGGGTCCTGAATTGGAGGAATATATCTTCACCTTTAGCTGGCAGACCACAAACTGAGGATCTGCATGGTTAAATAAATACTAGTATCATTTCACAGGAATCACCTTCAACTGTCAAACTGCACAAACTTAGCTATTTTAATGATCAATTATCAGCATTGTACACAAAAGATTAATTCATCTGCACACCTAAACATCAATGGAAATAAGTGTTGAAAATATAATCAATATAAGGCTGGGCGTGGTAGCACATGCCTATAATCCCAGCACTTAGGAGGCTGAAGCAGGGCTGAGGCAGGAGGATCACTATGAGTTTGAGGCCAGTCTGGGCTAGTGAATTCAAGGCCAGCCAGAACTACATAGCAGGACTCTGTCTTAAAAATAAAGTATAATCAATGTAACATTTTCTCCAATCCGAACCTTCAAAATAAGGTTCTGTTCCTAGTATGAAAGTCAATTCTATTTCAGGAATAATAAGTCCCAAGATTAGACTTAGGACATTAAAATTATGCTAAAAATATTAACATACATGACTTTAAGCATAAAAATGATTTCAAGAATTTTCTACCACATTTGTGAACTGTGTAAATGGTAACTTTTAAAATATATTCATGATAGTATTTATGTCTCTAACATGAGCCAAAAATCACAAAATAAAAATTACTACATCATCAGAAGAGGAAAGAGAATATAACCTATAACAAGGTTATAATAAATTCCACAAACACAAGTGTAGCTATTTATAAAAATACTAACCATCATTCTTATTACCTCTAGACCACATTTTATTTTTAAAAGTATAGAAAGTCACCATCATGGTAAACAAGAAAAAAAGAGATTTAAGACATCTGTAAAGAAACACAATAGACCTAAAGTGAAAATAGCAGCAAAACTTCCCTCTGAAACACTCAGTTTTCATTAACAACCATTTTGGCTTTGGCCTATGTCTTTTAAAATAACTGGCAAAGTATAACCTCTCAAAATTCATCATACTTTTATGTCAGTAATTCAACTAAAAGGTGTAAAGTGTGGAAACAGATTTATGTTTATTTTTAAATCTACACAAATTCATTTATAACTAATTGTGTTAATCATAGAAATGACAGACTTTAAAAATTTAAATTTATCTAGATAATTTGGCAAAGTATAATTCAGGTGTAGTATACTAAAGAATTCAAAACCAAAAGTGTATATAATCAGATATAAAATTCTCAGCACCACAAGGCATTACTATCCTTCAAGATGAAACCGACCAACAAGGCAAAAACCAAACCAATGAAATCTCTAGTTTAATAAACACATACTGATTTAACTACATAATATCTAACGCAGCATGACCTGTCACATAATAAATGGGATATTTGATAAAAGCAGGGGAGTGTTTCTAACATGGATTTGTAAGCCACTCCCAAAAGGAAAATATTACACCAACAATCTTTCAATAAATTTCACTTCTTTGACTAAAGTTTCAAAGTACAATAAGTCATTTTACAAGTCTTTATGTGATACTGAAAGTTTCACTTGGAATCTAACTTAAATAAGCAAATGAACAAGGCATGATGTAAAAGCTGTAATAAAATTAACTGGATGAAATGCCTTATAATTTTGTTAACTCCATTAATTCAAAATCTGGTAACACTGATTATAGGATTTTTAAAAAATTGATAGTATAATCCAGATTTCAACTAAACTACGTCTAAAATGTTGTCTTCAACAATGTTAGACTTGTTTAAGATTTGTTATATACATGTATCAACTTCCCACAAGGAATGTGGTCATTATATATTGCCAACATGTACTAATAAAGAAAGAAATTTAAAAAGTTTAGAATTGTTACATAAACAATTCATAAGCTAACGACAATTCACCATTACTTAAAATTGTCCATAAAAACTAAACTAAAAATCTTGTAATAAAAATAAGTACTAAAGAATTCCTGAAATCACTAAGGAAAATACTCTTCTCTACAATATAAATTTCAAATTTTAGATTAAGAGGATCTAACTTATCAGAAGTCCAAAATTAGTGTGGTTCTTTTGACTCCTAAGACAATTCTGAGATACATGACTGTGTCCTAAAGGAATGAGAAGATCTATATCTAGTAAATAAAAATCAGAATTAAATTTCTTGTATATATACATATACTGATATAATCCTGAGAGAAAACCATTTTGATCAGCTTCCTCAACATTTTTGTTTTGTTTTTTGGTACCAGGGATCAAATTTGGGACCTTGCACTTGCAAGGCAGGCGCCAGAACCACTGCGCTAAATCCCCAGCCCTCCTCAACATGTTTAACAGTTCTATATACAGAATACAAATAACTTTTTCTTCACTTAGAAATATTAAGACAATTGCCAGGCACTGTGGTATATGCCTATAATCCCAGGTACTTGAGAGGTTGAGGCAGGAGGATCTCAAGTTTAAGGCCAGCCTAAGCAACTTAGCAAAACAAAATAAGATATAAAAAGGGCTAGATTGTAGCTCAGGGGTAGAGGGTTTGGTTAGCATGTGAAGGGCTCTGGGTTCAATCTGAAGTACTACACACACACCAAAAAAAAAAAAAAAAAGATTGCTAATCCCTGACAATTTTGCAGAAAATACTTTATTTCTCACTGATTCTGTTTTTTTATGAACCCCAGGTTACAGACCCCTTGTTTCAGTCTTTACCCTCTGCCTTCCTCTAATCTTTCTTATCCTCTACCTCCACATCATGTTTACATAAGTCTTTCCTGATGCTTCCCAAAATATTAAATATTATCTAACACCTAGATTTAAACCCATGCTGAAATACCCATTGAGTACAGTTCACCTTCATCAGATTTAAAACATGTTTAAAGCCAAAATATTAATATTAATATTCATGTCCCTAAATGTTACATTTGGTTTTCTTTCTCTTTTCTATGAATCATCCATCTGAGCAAGATAAAAGATTTAACAAAATCTTTAGATATAAATGGCAAAAGAAAAACTAAATGAATTCTATTTGATTTCTCTAGCACATGTGGCTTAAGGCAAGTCACATTATTGGTTTTCTTTCTTCTATTTCTTTTCCCTGCAATCACAACTTTCTACATAACTGTCCTTAAAACATGGTTAAAGCTTCTAGTGTTATCATGACACTATAGTATTTATCAAATCAAATCTGACATCCCTATTTAAGATCCTCTAACAGTCACATATTTCATTCCCATTCTATTCTGTCATTATATTTCTTTCTCCAGTTCATTTCCTTTTGCTGCACTTCAGTTCAAGCCACTTCCTATTGCCTACCAAGTTAAATTATGTTTTCTCCAATGTTCAATAAAGAGCTGATGGATTTCCTTCATGAGACTGTTTTGACAATCTCCAAAACTTTCTTTTTGTGAATATAGCATTTATAATTTACACATACAACCTCTATTGGATAATTACTTGTATTTAATAAAGCTTCAAAACCTAACATTAGATCGCAGTACATAAACAGAGAATTGGAAAAGATTTAAAAGACTTCAGCAGTCAATAATTTTAAGCCTAGAAATGTAAATGGAATACTGTGCGACCAACAAAAAAAAAACAAAATAGGGCTTAAATATAGACAGGCAGAGTAGAACTGACAAGATATTTTTCCTAGAGAGTAATGTGAGAAAATTATACTATATAAAATTACTGAAGTAAATGTTTTCTCTTGGGTATTTTCTCCATAATACCTTTTGCTTAGCTCTTATACTGGTATCTATACTATAGAAAAAATGTAATTTTTCTTCCTTTTCCTCTCTCCTGTATGAATCTGTTAAGTTCCTATGTTGATCCCCTCCATCAGCCCAGTGCTTTGCACTCAGCAACATTTTTAACTGTACTAAGATTAAAAAAAATCACTGAGGTCCCTTAGACACCTTTAACTTGCTGTATTAATAAAACAGTGGTCTTTATTATAGTCGCCCTG